ACGTCGGTCATATAGCCAATTCCCTTCCACTGATTTACCGCCTAAAACAGCCCAGTGAGACAGCCTCATATGATACCGCTTTAGAATGCGTTTAAACATTCAGAGTGACAAAATTCTATCCACAAGACTATGACAAGAGGGATGACTCCAACTTTCCAATGAGGTCCCGCAATATTCGATGTTAGTTTGGCGTGTTATGTTTCACAATGATGCATACAAAAATGGCTCAATAATGCGAATTACATCCGTTAGTGTTACGGACGCAGCCTCTATTTTCAAAATGGGATCGACGTTTGTGAAGCACCCAGAAAACACAAGATGGACTGCGGATAGAAGTGCGGGCTTGTGGATTGACAGACAGACAAATATCAGTTCATACGGACACAAGACGAACTGCGGATGGACGTACGGGCTTGTGGATGGACAGACAGACACGTATCAGTTCATACGGACATCATTGTCACGGGCTTGGCTGCAAAACTAACAACGGGATACTGTAAAGTTTCAAAATTAGGATGCCCGTCGTAATTAAAAAGTCGTTATACTGAGAGAACTCTCCACAGTCGACACCCGATAACCGATACTAGATTCCGAAACGAATTTCGTGTGTTAAGTGAATATTGTTTTACACCGCTTTAAGCTGTATTCCAGCAATATCAATGTATTCACCCCCTGAACCTGTGTACCAATGTAGTCCCAGTCGGTCCCAGGCCTCATGCTTGATGTCAGCCTCCGTATTGTAGTGGATAGAACGTGTACCCATGGGGTCCCAGTCGGTCCCAGGCCTCATGCTTGATGTCAGCCTCCGTATTGTAGTGGATAGAACGTGTACCCATGTGGTCCCAGTCGGTCCCAGGCCTCATGCTTGATGTCAGCCTCCGGGGCGTAGCGGATAGAACGTGTACCCATGTAGTCCCAGTCGGTCCCAGGCCTCATGCTTGATGTCAGCCTCCGGGGTGTAGCGGATAGAACGTGAAAACATGTGGTCCCAGTCGGTCCCAGGCCTCATGCTTGATGTCAGCCTCCGTGTTGTAGTGGATAGAGCGTGTACCCATGTGGTCCCAGTCGGTCCCAGGCCTCATGCTTGATGTCAGCCTCCGTAGTATAGTGGTTAGAGCGTGTACCCATGTGGTCCCAGTCGGTCCCAGGCCTCATGTTTGATGTCAGCCTCCGTGGTGTAGTGGATAGAGCGTGTACCCATGTGGTCCCAGTCGGTCCCAGGCCTCATGCTTGATGTCAGCCTCCGTAGTATAGTGGTTAGAGCGTGTACCCATGTGGTCCCAGTCGGTCCCAGGCCTCATGCTTGATGTCAGCCTCCGTAGTATAGTGGTTAGAGCGTGTACCCATGTGGTCCCAGTCGGTCCCAGGCCTCATGCTTGATGTCAGCCTCCGTGTTGTAGTGGATAGAGCGTGTACCCATGTGGTCCCAGTCGGTCCCAGGCCTCATGCTTGATGTCAGCCTCCGTAGTATAGTGGTTAGAGCGTGTACCCATGTGGTCCCAGTCGGTCCCAGGCCTCATGTTTGATGTCAGCCTCCGTGGTGTAGTGGATAGAGCGTGTACCCATGAGGTCCCAGTCGGTCCCAGGCCTCATGCTTGATGTCAGCCTCCGGGGTGTAGTGGATAGAGCGTGTACCCATGTGGTCCCAGTCGGTCCCAGGCCTCATGCTTGATGTCAGCCTCCGGGGTGTAGTGGATAGAGCGTGTACCCATGTGGTCCCAGTCGGTCCCAGGCCTCATGCTTGATGTCAGCTTCCGTAGTGTAGTGGATTGAGCGTGAACCCATGTGGTCCCAGTCGGCCCCAGGCCTCATGGTTGATGTCAGCCTCCGGGGTGTAGTGGATAGAGCGTGTACCCATGTGGTCCCAGTCGGTCCCAGGCCTCATGCTTGATGTCAGCTTCCGTAGTGTAGTGGATTGAGCGTGAACCCATGTGGTCCCAGTCGGTCCAATGCCTCATGCTTGATGTCAGCCTCCGTAGTGTAGTGGATAGAGCGTGTACCCATGTGGTCCCAGTCGGTCCCAGGCCTCATGCTTGATGTCAGCCTGCGTAGTGTAGTGGATAGAGCGTGTATCCGGAGAGCGGTCGGTCAGGGGTTCGATCCCCAGCGCGTCAAACCGAAAGACGTTTAAATACGGTGCTCGCTGAAACCCTGCCTGACGCTTGACATTAAGTGGATAACACAAGGATTGGTCGGCTCGGAGTCTTTATACTGTGTCTGAGTGGGGTAAACTGTGGCATGATATTTCAGGGGCTTGCCCTTTGGGGATCATTGCTCAGCGATCAAACCCTTGGCAATCAAGTCAATTTCTCTTTCAGCTACCGGCTTCCGTGACATCAGTGTAACTCAAGTCAACCCCCATTTCCCCATTTAGTGAGTCAGTTTCAACGCTGGGAGGTCAGTATTTCAGTTATATAATGGTTTGATGGCATGTTCGAGGAAAGCTCGAAGTGATGAAGATCTTAGATGTTTACCATGATTCAACCCCATTATCCTGGCACGCCTAAGGGATGTAACTCTGTACAGCAAATTGCACGCCAAGAACGACTGGGCCATCAGTCCTAGTCCTCGTTAATTTTCCTTGATGAGATGGATAATACCGCTGATGATATTTCTCAAAAATATGTAAAAAAAAACCCAGAAATATCAGACGCATTAGGTGCGTTGGTGAAACACGTCTGAACGTATTGACACGAGGCTTATAACAACGCTCTATCATACCATAATGTGTCTTCAGTGAAGGTCGATAGGATAAAGGACGTCATCCACTGTACAAATGTTTGATTGACAAGACCACCTGTAGGAAGCAATCTGGACCCTTTCACCCGCGATAAGCTTGTCTGATGACTCCTCTGACGAGGAAGTCCAATTGTGCCATATTCGCTTCCTCCGTACAAGCACGGAGACGAATAATTAACTGTATGTTTACAATCCGAAGTGTGTCGGAGAGGTAGAATGAATGTTTGGTAGCAGACATAACGAACTGCGCTGTCAGACCAGGAAGACGTCATGGCTACTGGATCTCCTTCACGAATGGTCCCTGTTGGGGCGGGTAGGCTGTAGGCAGAGTTAATTTAATTTGTCTGTCGTGATAAGAGTTATTAGATGGTCAAAGTACTCGAGGAGCTTCGCTTATTTGAGATCACATGAAAGGTACGCTTGGCTTGTTATGACGTTGTTCTGAGACGTACCAGTGGTCGTTAGCGACGTGTAGATAGGGTGCTATGGAGCAGTTGTGAAGGAATTAAGTAACAGCGTTCACGCAAAAGAATGTGGGTCAGTATGGCTTGTTTTTGTATTTTTCACATACTATTTCTATTTTTGGCGATGTCTTGCAGTGACGTCATACCGTACATGATGACAATACGTCCATGCCCGGAAAGGGGATTATTTGTAGATGTTAAATTGCTTACAGACCAAACACGTAGGATTTGATAACCTTAAAGAAGCCATCAAAGTGAAAAGGCAGGGCAGGCGTTTATTATCATTTAAATAAGACGGATGTTGGTTGGGATAAAAGATCTAAGGGTTCTGTTTGTTTTAAAACGTGGCAAAGCGTTTCATAAGACCTGACTTAGGGGGATACACTCATGACTTAAAACATGATCTGCGTCAGTTAAACTTTTATGAGGGAAGTTTTAAAACACATTTATGGATCACCTTTTTGTACGGTGAGGATAACAAGTTACCACACATAATCAAATCCGTTTTGCATATGATATTATGTCAAAATGATAAAATATAAAAACAAGAAACTCATTTCCATAAAAATAAGAAATGTCTGCTGAAAGCAGAATCCGTTGAACGATTCCGACTGATTTATATCCTGGTCATGAGTTTATGAATCCCTATCAACGAGTGATAATACAGGGTGTGAGCATTTCATGCACCATCGGTGGTACCCGTTACAAACACATGCAAAGGCAAATCAATTATTCATTTTGAAAATACACAGAGACATGTAGCACAAGTGACCTAAGGTGACTGCAGCTGACCTCAGGTTTGTCACTGATGCGTCAAGATTGGAAATGCCCTCCATACGGAGTGAGTGAGTGAGTAGGGTTTTACGCCGCTTTAAGCAATATAACAGGAATATCACGGCGGGGGACACAAGAAATGGGCTTCACATGTTGTACCCATGTCGGGAATCGAACCATGCTCTTCGGCGTGACGAGCGAACGCTTTAACCACTAGGCTACCCGACCGCCCCTTCCATACGGCCAGGATAACATTGTGTGGACGCTCTACTGAATGTTGTATAACCTCTTTTGTATGAAAAATACATGATGACTGGTCTTTTATAGAAACGTTCAATGGGGGGGGGGGCAGCAATCGTATCAATATAATGAAAGTTGTCACCTTACTTTAGTTTATAATATCTTGGCTAAATATTGCGAGCTCTTCACAACTAAATGGAATGTGGATAACGCAATCAATCACGGATATAACCATCAGAACATGTATATCATATTCATAATTTCGCGTTCCAGTGATTGTGTACATCGTCGCATTAGCCATTGGCAAAGCATCATGAAGGAAATTCTGTTTGATAATCACAACATGTATTTATGATGTTCGTACTGTCCTGCTAGGCGCTCTTCCACAATAACCACGGCATAATTATCACTGACACCTTCGACCTGTTTTCAGAGGCGGTAGCCACCTGGGGACACGTTTACCCTTTTCGCGAACACCTGGTGTCATCACTGATTTTCAGGAACCCATTCATATAATTTTCACAATTTTGCCTTTTTGCCCCGTTTATTTTGTTCCTGCAGATAATCGAGAATGGTTATTCACTAGCGTTGACTTTTATCTAAACATATAGCCATTATTTTCACAAGAATTAGTTTTCATATTTTTTAAAGGAATTATACCACAGTCGATAGATACTTAATGATGTGTTATTATAAAACATATCTGTCGACACATAATCCGCAGAAACAGTTGTTTCAGTCGTTAAAATGTCGGCAACGAAGACATCACCTTGATTCACTTACCTTATCTTAGCTCCTTACAGCGATCCTATCAAACACACACAGCATAGCCAGACAGTGCACAGCTAAATCCGGAGCTTGGTGACAGCTGATGACAGTCAGAGACACCTGGGTGAAGATACAAGCACCATACAGACATACAAGTTTGCAAAAATCAGTCGGAATCCATCTTTATGGCGGCGATTGGCGTCTGAAATTGACCGACTACGAACCAAATTAGGTCTGACATGACTTGTTTGAATATCACCAAAAAAGAGCACTTTTTCAATTTCTTCAAACTCTGAGAGCAAAAACCCATACGTTAAATATTAGTTTTGTTTTTTTATCAAATATTTATATTCGATTACATTTGAAAAAACAACGTTGTTTGTTCTTTAAGCGAGTGCTTTACATAACACTTAAATAGCGCAATGTCACACATAGACTTGTCTCCTAAAGACTCTCCCAGTACAAACTCGCGTTCGTGATAATCTTCAGCTGTCATCTCTTTGATTCGAGGACGGGCGGGACGGGCATTAGGGGATCAAGATAGGGCAAGGAGGAGAAACAGTGAGCCAGTGGAACCCAGGAGGACTTGAATCTCAGAACCACCTTCAGGATTGAGGCAGGCAAGGCATAAGAGCTGTGCCTCACCTTGTAAGCCTTACTAAGATCCTTGTGTAAACACTTTCCTTTGTCGGTAATCAATTTCAAGCTGAAAGCTGCTTTATTCGCCCCAACCGCCTTGGGAAGCATCATTGGCCGATTAAACACAAGGTGCCCCTTGCCCGTTGTAACATGGTTGGGGTGTAAACGACATCAAAGTGGCACTCGTGTCATCGATAACACATTTACGTTGAGAGTAGATGTCTTCGATTTGATTGATTCGAGTAACGCTTATTGGCAGCTGGGGAACTTGGGCGAAACCCAGAGATGGCGACAGAGACGATTCCGCTATACCAATGCCAGCATGTGTTCGGTACTGACAACACTTGAAGGCAATAGATTGCCACAGTTGTGTAATGGGTATCATCAACAACACATGTCAACTGAAATGTACAAGCACTTGTGTGAAATGTACATCGGTTTGGTCATTGATTGTCATGGACTTTCCAATGTTATTCTATACTGATCTTAGAAATATATCCCACCAACGTTGTGACTGAATAGACTGCCTGAAACAGATCGATCCCAATTCATGCTTCATACTTCAAACTTTATTCCAACCTCCCGCTACCAGTCCGGTCTCTCTGCCATGTGTCAATATTTTGTTTTGTTTGATTCGCACTCAAGAAAATGTTCTACTTCTACACTGATCTAGCAATTAAAGAAGTCGATACGTGCTCTTTCGGGGGCCTAGGAAACAGCTTTGATGAAATGTGAGATAGAAAAAACTAATCATTTGTCTTGTATTCCACAAGGGAAGGAGTGAATAGAACAGGTATTTGTAGGACTGCGCGTGTGCAGACACCATGCTGGTAAACATTATTACTTCTTTTTTGGTACTTTTGTGTGATATTTTATGTTCTTATTAAATGTTATTTTATAGGGTATACGAGGACTAAGACATCTCAATTTTGGCATATTGAGAAGTCATTGATATCCACTGAATACATAGAATGGTTAATATATTGCATTTGGTAAACTATTCTGTTTAATGTTCTTGACGGTTACACAGAGAATCTCACCCAAGTGTCTTTTGATATGAAATATATCAACGAGTGTTGATATATTTGATATCAAAAGACACGAGGGTGAGATGTTATTTATTATCCCACATCATTCTTCCAACCTTTTCAGTTTGGAAACAATGACGTCACAATGGTCGGCAAAGCATTGTGATGCAATTTCATTACAGCGATATCGATAATGTAGATATCGCTTGATCTCACCCAGAAGTATTCGAGTCAATTTCAATATAAACATCTAATAATTAATTATCTATCGTTGAATAAACGTGAGCACCCTTTGATCACGATATAATTCGACATTCTTTTTCAAAATTGTGATTGGTTTCCTTTCAGACTGGGCGGCGACACACGCGTCACTTTATTATGCCCCAAAGTGAGATTGGCCAATCAGAGCGCTGACATACTACCCCCCACATGAGCCCATGTACCGTCAGTACAAATCTAGGATGGTTGTTACGTACCTAATATAAGACCGTATACCGTCAGTAACAGCCGTTTTGGATTTCCCAACACTCACCTCCCATGTTTCACATGAACATTCTGATACAGAAATCGTTATCCGACACTGTTTTGTGTTTTAATATAATTAATTGTGATGCGAAAAGACATTAATTTTTTTAAGAAACCACCTTCGTGATTTTATTAATAAAAAACATAGAGAAAAAACGCTTACAGCGGAGGTCACTGAGTTACGGAGGTCACGTCATTGACGTCACATAGTAATAGAACAGACAGCAGTCCGTCGTTAGAGGAAAGCTGACTGCTGTCAAGTTACAGTGGCGCGCAGATTTAGGTTAACATGCGGGCATTTTTAATATAATTCTATCCATTTTAGCTATAATACTTTAAACGTTCTCATTGAGTGCATTATATATTCCATTGTTAACGTTCATGTTATATTAAAGCGTTGTATCTGAAACATATGTACTGTTCCTGTCGTTTATACCGGTTGTAAACGTTAAGTTTCCATTTTGAAAAGATACAAAGATAAAGATACCAAATAGTGTAAACCTTTCGGCAAAAAAAATTCATAATGATGTCTTTAGTTGCCGTATACGGTGTCATATTAGGTTAGCAGAAAAAGGCTCATGTCTCGCCCAATATTTTTCTGCTAACCTAATATGTCACCGTAGAACCCCAGGTTAATCCCCTCAACACACCACAAAGCTGAGTTAAACGTTAAACCACTCACTCACTCACTCACTCACTCACGCACGCACGCACGCACGCACGCACGCACGCACGCACTCACTCACTCACTCACTCACTCACTCACTCACTCACTCACTCACTCACTCACTCACTCACTCACTCACGCACTCACTCACTCACGCACGCACGCACGCACGTCCTCACGCACTAACGCACTCACTCACTCACTCACTCACTCACTCACTCACCCACCCACCCACCCATTCACTCACTCACTCACTCACTCACTCACATCATGATCGGAAGCACTGTCAGACTGTTGGCGCGAACACGGCCAGGTACGGTATTACCCACAAACACTGATATAGGTCGATCCGCTTACTGTAAGAGCCTTACGTTCCTTCATTATCCGCCGCCGCACACAGCGACGCCCTACTTCCTCACTGTACAGCTCCTTGCACCACACCATCGCCACCGTCGGCTACAGCAGATGACAGAACTTGACGGCTTAGCTATCAGCTGGACGGATATTTATATGACGAGAACTAAGATGAATTTCCGTTTGTTATTTAGATATTGTTGATGCATACATTGATGAAGATGAATTGGATCATTTCATACTTAAACGCAGACCATCTAATATTTTTTTTATAATTTTTTTTTGGGGTGTGTGTGTGGATGAGGTTTTTGTTTGTTTGTTTGTTGTTTAACGCCGCAATCAGCAATATTCCAGCTATATGACGGTGGTCTGTAAATAATTGAGTCTGGACCAGACAGTCCAGTGATTGACATCATGAGCATCGATCCACGCAAATGGGATACGGTGACATGCATCAACCAAGTCAGCGAGCCTGACCACCCGATCCTGTTAGTCACCTTTTACTACAAGCACAGTCACCTTTTACGGCAAGTTTTGGTTGCTGAGGACCTGTTCTACCCCGGATCTTCACGGGTCGGAGGATGAGGTCTTTGAGTTCAGAGACATTTTCTATTTTATACATATTGTACAGCGAACGATCTTGTTCGGTGTTGTGAAGCCTGGGCGAAAACTATTTTCCATGTATTTTCTGGGGGAAATCCCTTCTTCCAAAAGAAAAGACTGTAGTATAAGGATAATGAATGAGTGATTAACTTTGGCTTTAAGCCGCTTTTAACAGTATTCCAGTTATGTGTCGGGTTTTCTGCTAAATGTGGGAGGAATGCACGATCAGATGTCTATATTGAAGTTGACTCGAATACTTCAGTACCTTATTGGTGTTTATCATCCGCAATTGGCGCCAACGGGAAATATCGCTTGGGTGAGATCAAGCGTCACCATTCGCCTCTTTCCGAAACCTCACTGGCTTGTTCCGGAATAACACGAGTTGGTCACGAATGACATCATTCGTCACCACTCGCCCCTTTACGTAACCTGCAAGAAGACTCGTCCCCCTATCGATGAATGTTATGTGCGAAAATACGACAAACCAATCAGAATGCGCGTATGATTTCAAGTTCTTCGTCAAAGAATCCCTCAGAAATATTTTTTTATTTTACATATGTCTTGCATCTAAAAATATACCCAAGACACAGTTAAATGTGTTCAGTCATACTGTATAATTCCGCACGTCCCGATGTGCTTTAAATTGCATCTGAAATATATATAATATATGGGGAAATATATGTGAACCATTACACAACGAGTAGACAATTGTTTTAGGTATGCCCGTTTGCGCTAAGACGGAACCCGGTCGCAAAAATGGCCACGAGAGGGGCACGAGTCGCTATTCGGCTTGTCCCGGAATAACACGAGTTGGTCACGAATGAAATGACATTGCAGTTATCGCTGCAATTAAACTGCATCACAATACTTTGCAGACCATTATGACGTCATTGGTTACCACGACGACAAAATCAAATGACATCACTAATGGCTCTGCTACTGAAGCTGTTAGCAGTACTTTTGCACCCTAAGACACTGTTTATTACTATCTACAAACTGAAAAAGTTGGAAGAATGATGTTGGATGATCAATAGAATCTTACCCAACTGTCTTTTGATATCAAATTTTATCATATAATAGGTAGGTTTCTCGGCAGGATAAAGCCAACGGATAAAAACGATATCCGTTGGGGTCATATGCGGTAAGAGATGCAAATATCAAAGGTCAAGTAGGACTACTTTCACTGTTTATAAACAAACATGGCGTCGCCCTCGTCATTCGGCGATCGAGTCAGAATTAACCATCGGGAATCTGAATAAACTACAGGTATAATTGCTATCATTATAAAACAAAACAGTCTAATA